TCTATTCAATTCATTCTAAGCTTATTATGTTCATTTTGCCATTAAGCACTTAAAATTTCACTCTGCTCTACTGAGTACTTACTGTTTTTCCAGATCTGTGACCATCCTATCAATTTCCTGTGTGGAAGGCACATGTGTTCCATGAAGAAGACTGTTGGATGTTGGGAAAAACTCTTCTCCACTGAAAAGACAGCAAAATGAACTTACAGTAACAATACAAGTGCACTAAGTTCTCTAATTTCAAAGTAAACCATTCAGGATGAGATATAAGAGACACACATATTTACTGTGGGGTGGGTCCCACCTTAACTTAAAAAAAAAAAAAAAAATACAGAGCCTTGGCCCGTATGGCTCAGTTGGTTGGGTACCATCCCGTGCACCGAAAGATTGCTGGTTTACCCAGCCAGCGTGGCTCAGTAGTTGAGCATCAACCTGTGAACCAGGAGGTCACGGTTCGATTCCTGGTCAGGGCATCTGCCCAGGTTGTCGGCTTGATCCCCAGTTGGGGGTGTGCAGGAGGCAGCCAATCAATGATTCTCTCTCATCACTAATGTTTCTATCTCTCTCACCCACTCCCTTCCTCTCTGAAATCAATAAATAAAAATATTTTTTAAAAAAGAAACAAAAAAGATTGCTGGTTCAATTCCTGATCAGGGCACATGCCAGGATTGCAGGCTTGAACCCCAGTAGGGGGCATGTAGGAGGCACCTGACTGATGCTTCGCTTTCACATCAATGTTTCTCTCTCTCTCTCTTTTTTGCTCTCTGAAAATCAATAAAAAAATCTTAAAAAACAAAAATACAGAATCAGAAGGGATCTAATAAATCACTTATTCTGACACTTTCATTCTATAGATGAAAGAGCCAAGGGCCAGAGTCAGGACTTGCCTCCAAGTTCACGTATTTCTTCTCCACTAAAGCAGGGGTTGGCAAGCTCCACCATGTTTTTATAAACAGTTTTACTGGGACAGAGCCACACCCATCTGTCTATAGGTCCTCTATGCTTTCACATCACAGCAGCAGAGCGGAGTAGTAGTTGTACAGAGACCATATAGCCCACAAAGCCTAAAATGTTTACTATCTGGTCCTTTACAAAAAAAAAAAGTTCACACATGCTGGCACTAAAGCAGGGGTCCTCAAAACTACACCCGCGGGCCACATGCAAATACAAATATTGTATTTGTTCCCGTTTTGTTTTTTTACTTCAAAATAAGATATGTGCAGTGTGCATAGGAATTTGTTCATAGTTTTTTTTTTAAACTATAGTCCAGCCCTCCAACGGTCTGAGGGACAGTGAACTGGCCCCCTGTTTAAAAAGTTTGAGGACCCCTGCACTAAAGCATCTTAAAAGAATATTGGGGTGAATAGGATAATCTGGTTTTAAACACTCCACACTCAGTCTTGGAACGCCCAGCTAGAAAGATAGCCAAATGATGAGTTTAACTACTGTGGAGCGAGCAATAGTGTTGCTGAGATCAGAAATCATTCTTAAGACAGCTGTCTGATAACCCATACCTAAACATTACCTAGGCATTATTTATATGTGTATGGTTGTATATATATTCACACACAAATATGTCTACCTCAGGATGCAAAAAAAACCCAAAAAAAACAAAAAACTTGCATTACTGTCAACTTACTGCTTTTCTCTCAGTCTCTCATATGTTTCCATGTCAGGTTTGATCTGTTTGGTCAACCGATGATACTGGCGTAACTGGGCAGCAGCATAATCTAAAAAGAAAATGAGAACCAGACATAATATACTTCCTTGTTTGGTCATTACAATTCAGGGGGGAAAAAATCTAAATTATTAGTAGCAATATATGCACAAGACACCAATCTAAGCAGAGCCTCTTATCCTGAAGATGCTGACAATACAAGCCTCGATTAATTTTACCACGAAGAATAAAAGAATCCAGATGACTGAAGTACAGCCTTTACTGCTGCCCCAGGAGATATATTTGTATTTTCTTGGGTTTATGTCTCTTAGAGAATATCCCTGAAGGGGCGTATCCTTTCATAAATCAGGAACACTGAAGGCGATGCTTACCTAACAGGCCCATTCAATAAAGTAAAAGCCAATTTTACCTGAAAATCCCAGGTCGGGGTTTTTCCTCTTCTTTTTCCTCTCCCATCTTTCTGCATCTTCGGCACTGATCTCCAGTAACTTCACTTTCTCATAGTCCTCCCCTCTGGCTGCACATTCCTAAAAAGAAAGGAAAAAGCTGAAACCAGCAATTATGATACAAGCAATTATTTTATCTATTTTAAAACAAGAAAGATTAAATAAAATTACCTAGCAATACTTTTAAAATGATTAATCAAAGAAAATTTGGGAATCTGCTATAGTATATAAGAAATAAGTACACAGATTTAAAATAATATTTATTCAGCATTTATCAGGTGTCAGACCCTGTTTTACAGGCACTGGCTCATTTAACTCATAATTAACTCAATTATTATCATAGTCTCCATTTTACAGGTGAGAAAACAGAGGCACAGACAGGTTAGATAACTCACCCAAAGTGTTGCAGCTAGTAAAAAGCAGAGCCAAGACCTGAACTCTGGCAGCCTAGCTCTAGAACCAGTGTACAAAACCACCTGGTTTTACTGCGTCAATACAACAGAAAGACCGAGTAAACCACTTAGGAAACAGCAGAGGCGTTCCTAACCTTTTTCTTTTCTTCCTCCTGTAGTTCCCATTCCAAACGAGCCTTTCTGGCTTCCCAATTTGCAGGTAACTTCAGTCTTTTATCTTCTTCCACAACTTCCTGGTGATTTAATTTACGGGCTTCATTCTACAACGTAACGAAAGTTTATAGCTGAAGCATGAAAATCAATCCAAATAGATCTTGCCTTCTTTGAGGGTCAGGTAAGACACATTACCAAGGGGACCCCATTTTATCTTAGAGCAAGAGAGAGCCATCAAAGGATTTTAAGCAAGGGAACCACCTAACTAGGTCTGCATTTGTATCGAGTCAAAAAAAAAAAAAAGTGTTGGGCTGCACGGATTTGCTGCTCCAGAGGCCTGCAGGTTCATGTCAGCTTTACCTCTGTTTAGCTGTGCAGTCCCTTTGAGCAGGTCCCTTAGGGTTGGATGGGACGAGGTTCACAAAGGGGAAGGACTACTACAGGGGCACTAAAGACTTCAGATGGCACGGAATGATGTTAAACACATGATGAGAAGGACGTTCTACTTTCCAGTCTCTTTTCATCTTAACTCAAGGAAAAAGCCTCAATTTGGGGCTGGGGCTCTAAAACCTATCTTAATATCTCTAATCCTTTCCAAGTCCTCCCTCCTTTTCAAATATTTTAACAGTTTACATTATGGCAAATGAAAGAAGTTTTCCAGTTGGATTACTCTGTGAAGAGTCTGTTTTAAAATAAATTTAACTGCATAAAATAAAATAAGTATACCATCTTAAGGAAAAATTAAGTTTGATGTTTTTTCCAGTTGGATTACTCTGTGAAGAGTCTGTTTTAAAACAAATTTAACTGCATAAAATAAATGACTATACCATCTTAAGGAAAAATTAACTTTGATGTTTCTTAGGTCACAGGCTGGTGGCAGTAAGTCCAGGAAGCCATGTCTCCTAATTTCCAACCAGATGTTCTTTACACAGTTCATCCAAGTAAATATTTAAGTGTGTTTAAGTCTTTCTTAGATTAACTTTTGGGGGCAAAGAGAGAATGTCCTCTCAACTACCATCCCTTATTTATTCTTGAAGCTGACAATACCCTCCAGGTGAAGACACCAAGAAAACACCTGAAATCAAAGTTGTGTGTGTTGCCCTGAAAGAGACAGCAAACCAAAGGGAACTGTAGGCATTTAGGTGAGAGAGTGTTAGGGAGTAGGTACAGGGTTAGGGGGTAGGTGTCAGCGGCTTGGGGGGGAAATTCGAGGAAGTGTGATTGTGCTCTGGATTGGCACTGTCGGAAAGCCAACGCATTTTTGATTGAGTATCTTAAGTTTTTACAAATGAGGCAGGATTAATGGAACAAGACTAATGTTTTATTTGATAATAACAGTGCCGCCCCGCACAGTCGAAAATTCGAGTATAGCTCATACTGTTTTCATTCTGCGCGGTTGGTTGAATCCAAGTATGCGAAGGGGCAACTGTAGCATCCAAAGTTATATACGGATTTTCGACTGCGGGGTTCAGCACCCCTAAACCCAGATGCGATGTCCAAGGGTCAACTGTATTTTCAAAAGTGACTAACGTGCTACCAGCGTTGAGAACCACCGGGACAGATCTTGCATCGGGCCACGCGGGTTTGTTAGGCTCGCTGCTGCGACTTCCTCGTCCCCCCACCGACACGCAGGGGCCCGGCCAGTGCCAGGGCTCAGCACCTACTCACCCGCTTCAGGTGCAGCTCCCGGAACTTGCGCAGTCTCTGCTCGCGCTTCTGGGCGGACAGCTCCTCCGCCGCCGCGAGGGGCTGCTCCTCCTGCTCACTGCTCGCCAGCACCTGCGACAGGGAGGGACGGCGGTT